GAAATAGCAAGAGGACTAGAATTAGAAGTGGAGCCTGAAGATGTGACTGAATTGCTGCAATCTCATGATAAAACTGTAACAGATGAGGAATTGCTTCCTATGGATGAGCAAAGAAAGTGGTTTCTTGAGATGGAATCTACTCCTGGTGAAGATGCTGTGAACATGTTGGGATGTCAGTAAAGGATTTAGAATATTACGTAAACTTAGTTGATAAAGCAGTGGCAGGGTTTGAGAGAAATGATTCCAATTTTGAAAGAAATTCTGCTGTGGGTAAAATGCTATCAAACAGCATCGCATGCTACAGAGAAAGCTTTGCGAAAGGAAGAGTAAATCGATGCAGCAAACTTCATTGTTATCTTATTTTAAGACATTGCCACAGCCATTTCAACCTTTAGCAACCACCACCCTGATCAATCAGCAGCCATCAACATCGAAGCAAAACTCTCCCCTAGCAAAAAGATTACAACTTGCTGAAGGCTCAGATGATGGTTAGCATTTTTAGCAATAAAGTATTTTTTAATTGAGGTATGTGTATTGTTCTTTTTTAGGCATAATGCAATTGCATACTTAATAGACTACAGTATAGTGTAAACATAACATTTATATGCACTGGGAAAACAAAAAGTTCATGTAACTCACTTTATTGCAATACTCGCTTTGTTGTGGTGGTTTGCAACCAAACCTGCAATATCTCCAAGGTTTATGCCTGTATATGATTTCCCTGTAAGGAGTCTGTTCCAGTAGTCCCTGTTTCCAGTTAATGAAAAGTAGAATGAAGAAATCCAGGGCAAGTGGCTTGTCTTTAAATAAATGACCTGGAAGTTGCATACATCATTTTAGTTTGCAGCACATTGAAGTCACATCCAGCTTTGAGGGAGGCTGGGAAACATAGGGCCTAGCTGGGCAGCCATAAACCCAGGAACAACTTGAGAATCTACAACTCAAATGAAAAAGAGAAGGGTTGAAAGTAAGTGAAAAATAGAAGCTCCAAATCTAGTTGGATACCTTATGCTGTAAATGTTTACAAAGCTGAGATAAAGGTTAAATATATCTTTTTTCAGAGAAAGAAATTAAAAAGTGACCTTATGTTTATTTAGTGCATGGTATGAATTTCCACACTCCTGCCTAGATTAAGGATTTATCTTCCATGTTAGCAAAAAAATTGAAGTCAGAAAACTTAGATGCTACCTAAAAATCAAACCTAGTTAAAAAAAAAAAACCTCTATTGTAGCTATGATACGCAGATTTTTACAGATAAATGGAACCCTAAAGAAGCTGAAATACAGTATTGGAGTTTCTGTAGAATAAAGAAATATAATTCAAGAAGTGGATATAGGAATTCCTCATAGGATGGCAAGGAATCTTTACTAATGTGATGCATTTTAATATTTAAAAGTTCCACCTCTCTTGAATGATCAGTTTTCATTTCATATCTCAATTATACATTCTGCTCTTTCTGGTTATAGAAAAGTATATAGCATCCTATTGTTCTTCTTGACTCAGAAGAAATGCAGATTGAAATGTTATGATCATAGGATTTTCATTGACTGATTTTTGGAAGTAGATTGCCAGGCCTTTCTTCCTAGTCCATGTAGGTCTGGAGCTCCACAGAAACCTGTTCGGTTTTCATAGCAACATGCAAGCCTCCACTGACGGACCAATGGTGGCCGGGAATCCAACCTGGGTTTCTGACATGGGAAGTGAGAACTCTACCACTGAACCACCAATATTCCCATAGTGGGTTCAAGACCAAGTAACAGCCCAATGTACTGTTAAACGCCTTTGTGTACACGAACACAAGCAAACACCCAGGACTGGAGATAAATTTTCTAATCAACTTCATCCACCCCCATTCGAGCACCAGACTTTAAGAAATTCAACTTGAACCTCCATGGGGTCATGCTGTCTTCATAGGTAAGAATTCCTTACTACATTTTTTTTCTGATTTAATTATAAAGATAAGAAGAGAGAAAAGGTTATTTCGTTCCACAACAGTAAATTTAAATGTGCAAAGTACATAGGTAGAAGTACAAGAAAAAATGCCTAGAAAAGTTCAAAGAGGTTAAAGCAATTCATAGTTTAATTATTCTCTAAATTCTCTAGTTCTTGTTGAGATGACACATTCACTCTAATCTCTCAATGCCTTTGTAAATTACTTTAGAGACAAGGTTAGTCTCATGTTCTCTCTTGGTTCAACATGTTTTATTTTTATTGAAAAGACCTACATTGAAAATTATGGTGGTACCTGGATAATTCATCTGATTAAATTAACCTAATAATAGTGTTATATATGTATTTTTAAATATATATAACAGCAATGTGCTGTTGTTCTTCATCTGATTTCTTATTTTAAATAGCCAATTTAGTACAAAAATACTCTAGGAGCATACACGTAGATGAAGATTTAGATTTTTAAGTTTGTAAATGTTGTGTTTATTATATTTTTATAACAATAAAAAAAATCTAAACTGCCAGGCCCGAGTATGTGCATAATATTATTTAATTAATTATCACACAACAATGGAGAGCCATCTGGATTCTTATGAAACTGGAAATAGAATATCACAAGAAGGTACTTTCTTGTTTAAATATTGCTTTTTCAGTTTTACTATAATTGAGTGGCGGCTATTCTATAAATAAGTATAGTCACAGAGTTTTAAACTCATATACATAGAAATTTATTTTATATAATTTGGACCTATTTCCAAAGTTTTGTTAATAGAAAAGAAATTGGGACCTGATAGATCAGGAAGTTTAATTGAGAACACAGAGTGACTTATTAAAACACTCCCCTGCGTGTAAGTTTGCACATCTTGTTGCATTCATAGTTACTTAGTTTCTTCTGTAAGGAAAGCTTATTAATTCTTTGCTTTCTCAGGATATTCTGAGCACTTATATAAATAACTCTTTCAGTAGAACACAACATGTCAGTCAATGTCGTGAAGGAGTCGATGTTCCACTGCCAGACATATTATTTTAGATGGGTCATTTATACATAAGTAACATCTCACTATTTTAAGGGGAAAAAACTTCGTGTTGATTTATGCAATTAAATGATAAATATGGATGCAATAATACATGTATATATATATGGAGCCCTGGTGGTGCAGTGATTAGGAGCTACGGCTGCTAACCAAAAGGTCCACACTTCGAATCTACCAGCAGCTTCTTGGAAACCCTACAGGGCAGTTCTACTCTAGGGTACTCATAGGGTCGCTATGAGTTGGAATTGACTCGAAGGCAACGAGTGTGGTTTTTTCTTTTCCTTTGGACATATATATATATAATTTACTTGTACATATATATGGCTTTTTCAAGCACAAGCTTTATTAATACATGGCGGTCGACTCAATTCTGACTCATAGTGACCCTTCAGCACAGAGTAGAACTGCCCCATAGGGCTTTCAAGGCTGTAATCTTTACAAGAGCGGATGCTGCATCTTTCCCCTGTGGAGTACCTGGTGGGTTCAAACTGCTGACCTTTAGGTTAGCAGACAAGTGCTTTAATCACTGCACCACCAGGGCGCTTTAAGCTTTATTACTGTGAGTAAAATACCATCTTTATTAGTATAATAGCATATCTTGCCTCTTCAGCAATGAAAAAAACAACAGGACTTCAGGGTCCCCTTAATTTATTTAGAAGAAAATGAAAACAGACTCCAAAGTTCAAAATGAGAAGTGAAGTTAGAGTTCATCTAAGTACAATCAAGAAAATACAACAGAATAGAATAAATCAGTCTTAAAGAACTACGGGTGGAACTAAATGCAGTTTTGGGTTACAATTTCCAATTAAAGAATTATAAAAATTGTGCTAACACACAAAAGCAAGCCTGCAAGGAAATATTTGTGTTTTTTATCCTGAAATATAAATAAGCAGACACATTTTTCCATTGCTTATTCATTCGAACTCATTATGATGATATTTGCACCCTGAAATTGTACAACTTAGGCAGTTATAAAGTTTATTAGCATGTCTAATTTACACGTTCATGTTTCACTTGACTGAAGTCTTCCTGTCTTCTTAGAGTTCTTCCAAAATTTGGCGAAGTGAGCAGGTTATCACTGGTTACTATTTTGTAGAAGGATTATAGGGAGAAAACACAAACAGTAGTATAAGACATAGTTGTATTTAAACATAAAGCTAATTAATGCATGAGTAAACTTTAATATTCTACATCCTTATGGAGCTGTCCTTCAATATAATTTTTAGGAAATGAAAAGAATCTCCTTTCAGATTAGCTCCAGGGAGTTTTGTGCAGAGACAGATACAGATTTTCTCAGCAGATCTATTTTAAAAATCTTAGGCAAGGAAGAAACATAATTGCTCTGCTCCTAGTTTCTATGTGAAGTGACAGACTAATAAAGAACTTCTGTGGAGGCAGAATGCAGTGCAAGGCAGTAAATGATAAGCGAGTTGAATTAAGTATGCATGCTTGAAGGTAAGGCAAGCTCCCCAGTTCATAAAACTTCTTAAGAGGTCACTCTTTGTCTTGTACATAAGCAAAGAGAAACCTGAACAGAAGCTGTTCCTGCTAAATTCCTCTTTGATTCTAGCACGTAAAAAGAAAAGAGCACTGGACTCATCTCACCAATCAAACCCTACTCTCCACCTTTCTTAGCTGGAAGACTGGACTAATGTTACTCCCACAGGGAGCATGGAAAGGATGGAGAGCACCTGTCCTCTCATTGAAGCAAAGCCCTTTCACTTTTCTTCTATTGGGTATCACAAGGAGCGTGCTTCTCAACCAATCTCCTGGGAGACATGGGCTGGCGGGGTCCTATGTGGCTGCCACAGTGGGCCGCTGACTCACATTCACTTATTCTCATCTTCCACCAAACCTAAATCATGTGCAAATTCAAGGAAAATAAAGAAATTAAAACTTTAATTCTACTCTAACAACTCCATTTCTTGTTGAGATGGCACTCTCATGTTAATCTCTTACTGCCTTGGCTTGTAAATTACTTAAGAACCCCCCCAAAAAAAACCCTCTGCCTTTGTGTAGATTCCGACTCATAGCGACCCTATAGGACAGAGTAGAACTGCCCATAGAGTTTCCAAACAGCACCTGGTGGATTTGAACTGCTGACGTTTCTGGTTAGCAGTGGTAGCTCTTAACCACTACACCATCAAGGTTTCCTACTTGACAATAGCAGTCAATAAAAATAGGACTAACGTATCTTTTTAACTTATGTGTCTGTCTGCATTTCCAGTGTGGTTGGGTCGGGTTTTATAACCCCTCATTTCACTAATTTACTAAAACCCTTAGCATCTTCATTTCTACAAATATAGGGGAATGAAATGAATCTAAAATCAGTTCATCTGAATTTCCACTGCCTTTGTGTATACTTGAGACATGAACAGAGAAATGAATCATTAATTCTGCTAATGTGGAAGTGCACATAATTCCTTGGGTATGCTGTATTCTGTCTTCTTTTATGTCTTTGCCCTGCTGCCCTTCTGCCTGGAACCGCCTTGTCCTTCTAACTGTAACCGCTTTGCCCTGGGTCACCTTAATTTGTCCTTCAATACTGTCCCCAAGTGATTCCATCTCCAGAAGCCTTTCCTACCTACTTCAGTCTGTTAGGAGCCTCAGTTGCACAGTGGTCAAGAGCTCAGCTGCTAACCAAAAGGCAGGCAGTTTGAATCCACCAGCCACTCCTTGAAAACCCTATGGGGCAGTTCTACTCTGTCCAATAGAGTTGCTATGCGTCGGAATTGACTCGAAGGCAGTGGATTTTCAGTCTGTTAGGTGCCTATTACCTTTGCTACCTTAAACCTTGATCACTGCAATGCCCACCTTCTACACTTTCAGCTCCTCAAAAACAGAGACTCAATTTGGTATATCTAGGGCTAAATATGCTGCCCATCTCTTAGGAGGCATTTAATAAATGTTTGCTACGCTTAACTAAACTTACACAAATATTTTGATGCTTTGTAGTGGGTTAAATTGTCTATAAACTTTTGTGGCTTTCTCCACAGAGAGGTTCAAGGTTGTATGAAAAAAAATAGCAGAGGAAATTCTCAACACAATTGTCTCTAGAATAAATGAATAGTAAAAATATATGCTGAGTAAATAATCCAAGAAGCTGGACTATATGAAGAAGAACGTGGCATCAGGATTGGCTCATTAACAATTTGCCATATGCAGATGACACCTTGCTTGCAGAAAGTGAAGAGGACTTGAAACATTTACTGATGAAGATCAAAGACTACAGACTTCAGTATGGTCTGCACCTTAACATAAAGAAAACAAAAATCCTACAACTGACTAGTAAGCAACATCATGATAAATGGAGGAAATATTGAAGTTGTCAAGGATTTCATTTTACTTGAATCTACAATCAACGTCCATGGGAGCGGTGATCAGGAAATCAAAGGACGTGTTGCATTGGGCAAATCTGCTGCAAAAGACCTCTTTAAAGTGTTGAAAAGCAAAGATGTCACTTTGAGGACTAAGGTGCGCTTCACCCAAGCCAGGATATTTTCAATTGCTTCATATGCATGCAAAAGCTGGACAACAAATAAGGAAGACTGAAGAAGAATTGATGCCCTTGAATTATGGTGTTGGCAAAGAATATTGAACGCACCATGGACTGCCAGAAGAAAAATCAAATCTGTTTCAGAAAAAATACAGCCAGAATACTCCCTGGAGGCAAGGATGGTGAGGGTTCGTCTCATGTACTTTGGACGTGTTATCAGGAGGGAACAGCCCCTGAAGAAGAACATCATGCTTGGTCAAGTGGACAGTCATTGAAAAAGGAGACCCTCAATGAGATAGATTGACACAGAGGCTGCAACAATGGGCTCAAGCATAACAACTGTGAGGATGGCACAGGACCAACCAGCGTTTTATTCTGTTGTACGTGGGGTTGCTATGAGTTGGAGCCGACTCAATAGCACCTAACAACAATAACAAAAATGTATAAAAATTTAGGGCACAAAACTTTGGCTTTGGGTGGTGGTTGATACACTTTAAAAACTACATCAAACCTTTTTTTTTTTTTAAAAAAAAAAAAGGAAAATGCAGATAAATATTTTACAGATACTTCTTCCAGCTATCATTTTTGTTGTTGTTAGTTTCCAACTCATAGCGACCCCATGTGTGCAAAGCAGAACTGCTCCAAAGGGTTTTCAAGCCTGGGACCTTTCGGAAATAGATTGCGAGGGTTGTTTCCCACGGTGCCACTGGGTGTGTTTGAACAGCCAACCTTATCGGCTAGAAGTTGCACACTTAATGAATTGTGCCACCCAAGGTAACCTTAATAAGGAAAGTGAATCCAGTGCATGACTTTAAAAGTTTTGCTCTTTTTTATATCTGCAGATCAGGTTTTATTAATGCTTTAGCTGAGAACTACGTCTACGCCATTCACTGTACATGGAATGACCTTCTTAGGACAAAGTAATTATGTAACAATCATTGTTATACTTTAAGAATACACAGGATAATGTGATGAGGCAAGTCCTGCATGTAAACTGTGTAACTGCATGTAAACTGTGTAACTAATGGTGGACCTTTAAAAAACCAAAGCCAAAACTAAACCTGTTGCCATTGAGTCGATTCTGACTCATAGCGACCTTCTAAGACAGAGTAGAACTGCCCCATAGGGTTTCCAAGCAGTGGCTGGTGGACTTCGACTGCTGACCTGCTGGGTAGCAGCCACGCTGTTTAAGCGCTACACCACCAAGGCTCCGGTAAACCTTTAGGACTTTCTGTTTTCTATGAATCTAATGTCTAGAAACTCTAGCAAGTCCTTTGATGGTATGTGCTTGGTCCAGGGTTAACAGTGGAATCTGGAAATGTACAGGACCTCAGTTCTGTCATGATTTTTGATAATTATTGGAAAAGAACTTCAATCGGTTTTGTAGCAGGTGGAACCAGCTCCTTACAAAATTCTCAAAGAACAGCGTACACTCCTTTTGCTTGAGCATTGAGACCCATTCCAGAGACTTGTTCTTTGTGGCCATCTCCCAAACACCCAGCTTTATGCTTCAGGCAAAGTCCAATAGGAACTCATTTAGTGAGGGTTACAGGGGGGCCATAAGGAATGACATAAATGAAGTTGGCTACACTTAAAGGAAAGAAAAGCCTAAATAAAACTGGAGGAGACATGCTAGAGGTGCAGAGCCACTCAGTTGTCATGAATTACTCTCATGCTGATATGGAGGCTCCTGGCATTGTCAGATTTTACATTTTTTCCCAAGACCCTCTTGAGATCTGATTTTTTAAAAATGTAAACATTTTCCATTTCTTAAAGTTAGCAATAAATGCTCGTGTGTATCAATACTGTTCTGGATGTACAAAACATACCTGCAGTCGTCCACCTGTTGTGTGTCTACTTAGCACCTGGGAGTGGCAATGAAAAGAGGCCAGATGACTGAGCAGCTGTGCAGAGGAGGTCTGTTGGGAACAGAGCTTGCAATGTTGGTAATAGCTAATGGGCATGAGCACTTACTATGACCATGAACAGTTCTATATGCTGATCTGTAGGAGTGTGTTTAATCCTCATTAAACTCTGTGAGATTGACACTGTCATTATCTCTACTGTAAAAGAATCTTAGTAGCTTCCTCAAGGTTACACAGCTAGTATATGTGGGAGCATGGATTCAAATCCAGGCCTGGCTCCAAACCCAGGGATCTTAACCTATGTTGTTGTTGTTGTTAGGTGCTGTTGAGTCGGTTCCAACTCATAGTGACCCTATATACAACGGAACGAAACACTGCCTGGTCCTGCGCCATCCTCACAATCAGTGTTATGCTTGAGCCCGTTGTTGCAGCCACTGTGCCAATGAATCTCATTGAGTGTCTGCCTCCTTTCCACTGACCCTCTACTTTACCAAGCTCTTAAATTAACCATACCTATTCTAAGGTATACATATTATGTTACAGTTTGAAAAATAAAGAATACACAAAAGAACTTGATTTTCTTTTTTACTTATACTACTTGTTTTATCTAAAAAAAATTGTTTAAAATTATGCTAAGGGAGAATTTTACTATGCTACAGACTAATGATCACGTAAAAATGAAAAATGTTATTAAGGTAGTATTGATGAAATGGGACATAAATGAATCTCAGTTGAGTATTCCTGACTCCTCAAAAACTCAGAAAGAAGTAATACATTAATTTATTTCCCTTCCAAAAGGGTGAAATGCGTGAGAATATTAGCACCAACCTGGATTTCTTGTTTGAACAGAATTTAAGCAGCGTCTGCATCAATTGACGATTGAGGTTTTGCTTTAACTGACGTTCTCTATGAATAGAAACCAGAAAAATATTAATACGCAATTTTTTAAACTTAAAGCACTAAGAAGAAAAATGAATCAGATTAAAAACATTTTTTCAAAAGTTATTGTAATTTTTCTTTTGTTTGTAATTCACTTTGTAGAATATTTTTGGAAGAAGTCACTATTTCATAGATGTTTACAAACTTTGATTTCAACCTGTGTTTGTATTTCTAAATAGCATTTGGTGTTTCAGTGGGTGAATAATTACTCCCCAGATTAACTTTTCGTATATTTCTCTGCTGTGATGCATAGCTGAAACTAATAGAAAAAAAAAAAGGATAAGATCTTTTAGTCACGTTGAACATGACTAAATTCTTAATTCTTCTAAATAGCTATATCTGTGTATATATCTATATTTAGAAATTCTTCTTTAAATTTTGCCAACTTAGTATTTCATTGCTTTTTCAGTTTCCAGAATATTGATCAAGAAGAAGCTAACTCAGTTGCCATACATACCCGAACACAAGGAGAAGATTTTTCTCCAATATTTACACTTTAGACAGGAGGACACATTTTATACTCAAGTCCTAACAAAATCTCTAATCTATAACAGCATACATCTCAATTACTTTACTTTTATTAAAGTATTATTTACATGTAGTAATGGCAATAAATCAAAAGTTTGGATGATTATAGAAGTCACCTGACAAAAGTAGTTAAAAAAGAAAAGAGACAAAAGAACTTAATGTAGATTTTACTGTTATTCTTGTTTATAGGACCCACCATTGCAACATAATTAATAAACGTTTTAAAACAATGTGTTTAGTTGTTATGGTGTGGAGATCACAAAGAGAGATCTAGAATAGAGGATGAATGAAGTAGAAATTTGACTGTTTTATTTGTATCCATCAAAATATATTAAATCAAGTTAGATCAACACTTTGGAGGATCTTTCCTGAAGAAATGGATAGATATAAAGTGTGGTCTCTCACCATATTTATATTTGAGTTTCCCTTTTACTGGGTAAATGCAAACAGAAATTCTGTGGGAATAACACAGTGACTTCTATGTGCCCAGTTGAAAATGACTGGGTTTTTGCAATTTGTTTTTCTCTTTGAGTCTAATTGAACACAAAAGAGTAAGCCCCTCAGAGTGTTATTCACATGAATACTTAGAGAGAAATTAAAAACTGAATTCTCACCTTTATCAGGAACCTAACACAGTAAGCAATGGAGAGGACAGTTCCAACAATACCAACCATCACCCCAAAAATAATGCCTATTATCCCTTTGGGAGAAAAAGAAAGCAGAAAATTACAAAAGTCAAATAAACTGCCACAATCAATTGGAAAATAAAATGGGAAAAATGAAGGTAATATCACCTTGTCTTTTTATAGAATATACATTAGTTTATTTCATGTATATTTATCTATTAAAAAATTGGGTTTTTCACAGAACCACGTGGAAAACGAATTTTGAGTGGTAAATTTTTTGTCCAAGGTCACATGACTGACTAGTTAATGACAGAAACAAGATCCAAGGGTTCTGACCACAATTAACTAAGGGGAGGAGCTATGTGCAGCTTCTACTATGATACAGAAAAAAACCATAAACTCTCATGTAGTTGGAAAACTATGACAGAAAATAATGTCTTAATGTACAAAAGAGCATCCGACAGATCATGGAATCATAGATTTGGAAAGAAACTGGTATAAACAGTTTACAGATGAGAAAAAGAAGTCTAGTGAGGCAAAGTTACTTAGCCTAGGTCAGACAGCTAGTTGGAAGTAGAGAGATACCTATAATCCCTGTCACCAACATTCCAAGCTTGTGTACTTTCCACAGCATCTTAAGGAATATTTTATAATATAGTCACTAAAAATGTTTTTCAAATCTTTTACATGTTGAGAATGAAATAAAATTTTAATCAATTAAGTTACTAGTCATCTCTGTATATTAATACCATGTCTATAATGCTTTCAGTTGGAGTAAATAGAATGGAAGTCTACATAGACAGGTGTAATATGTCCTATTAATTTATATTATTAAATTAAGTGACTATTAATTTATTCAATATTAGTTAATATTTATACTGATTAATTTATATTTAAAAGCCCTGTTATTGATTTTTAAAAAAAGTAAAAGTAGCTTTTCCTCTCACTGGTTTTATCCAGCCTTACTGTCCACTTAGCTATAATTTATTAGATAGTGATTCAGTTCTACAGCCCACTTTTCCTGTGTGAAGTAGGGAAACAGGCCAAGTGTGAAGGGAGGACTAGAATGGTAACTGGTAAATGAGCACACAAATCCACTAAAGCCAGGTCTGCAGCAGCACCTGAAAGGGGAAGTGACAGTCACCAGCTATGGCAGGTTACGGAGACAGCCCCACACTGGAGGGCTAGTGCAGGGACAAGAATGAGTCAGGATTGAGGATGAATGGTCTGCGCTTGTTTTTGATATGGTGCCAGCTAATCAGATGCTTTTAAGCTCCTTGCTTTCTTTACAGTGGGGAAGAAGAAAGTTCCATTGTTTTATAAGCTATTAAGGAACTTTTCTTATGCACCCATAGTTAGTTAGAAAGGTAAAATCTCACTTAGAAGAAAAATAATTATTGAATTATGTATTCCTATTGCAGAATGTCTAAGAGTATAAGGAATACCTATTTTATTTCTAAAAAGAGCATGTTTTGTTTGCCTTTACAATTTTGTGCAACTAAAGCTAACAACATATGTTCTCTTTTTTTTTAAATTGATACTTATTTTTTGAAACTAGCAATGCATATTTAAAGTGGAAAGACTGTCATTTCACATCAAATATTAACATACCTGGTTCAGAGAAAATGTGGGTCATCTGTTCTCTTCGTCCTAAAAAACACAAAACAATATTTCAAAAGAAAGGCAGAAAAATGGGGTATGTCTTTAATGTTTGAAAAGCAAAGACGTCACTTTGAGGACTAAAGTGCGCCTGACCCAAGCCATGGTATTTTCAATTGCCTCATATGCATATAAAAGTTGGACGATGAATAAGGAAGACCAAAGAAGAATTGATGCCTTTCAGTTATGTTGTTGGCAAAGAATATTGACTATACCGTGGACCGCTAGAATAACGAACAAGTCTCTCTTGGAAGAAGTACTGCCAAAGTGTTCCTTAGGTGGTGACTTCGTCTCACATACTTTGGACATGTTATCAGGAGGGACCAGTCCCTGGAGAAGCACATCATGCTTGTAAGATAGAGGGTCAGCAAAAAAGAGAAAGACCCTCAACGAAATGTGTTGACACAGTGGCTGCAACAATGGACTCAAACATAGCAAGGATTGTGAGGATGGTGCACAACTGGGCAGTATTTCATTCTGTTATACACAGGGTGGCTATGAGTCGGAACTGACTGAACGGCACCTAACAACAACAAAAGAAAACCAAACCAAACAACTTTGGAATTAGAGGTTTTTTTGGGTGGTAGTGTTGGTACTTTTTCTTATCAGTGTTTTTGGAGTTATTGGTGGAACTTCAAGAGCTAGCTAGTAAAACTTATTTGGTAATGTGTCAGTCTTATGTTTAGTAATGCCAATGTTGACTTCAAATACTCAATAAATGTTCATTGGTCAGAAATTAGTAAGCCATCTCATTAATAAGGGGGAGGTTATGAGAAAGCATTGGAAGGACCACCTATCTACTTCCACTAGAAGCAGTGCATATTTGAAAATTGTAAAAATAGTGAAAAGAAAGAAGACACATTGAGCCATCAGACCACAGACTCCAGTCAAACCTGAAAAGGGATCATGTTGCTGTTGATTTTCCAGATTTATGCCACAGTCACTGTGTGAATCCAAACTGTATCTCAGCCGAACTTTTATCAACAGTCCTACTGGACTTCCTGTCTGCCGAAGTTTCTAGTACAGCCTTACTGCTTTGCCAAAGTTAACCTCCCCTTTATCAGCTCACTTTTTACATTTCTTTTCTGCTGTATCAACATGCCATTTTACATCATGAAGAGCTCTTACTACAAAATCCACAAATATTTCTTGAATTTAATTACTTTAAATAACGTATCTGCGTACTTTGTATCAGTCAAGGACTCTGTTATGTTCTATGTCATTCTTTTGGAGCGACGTGTAATGGTTAGTTGGGACTTGTCTTCTTCTCTGTGGCTGTAGATGGTTGTGGGCAGTGTATGGGCTTTGGAGTAAAACAGTTGCGGGTTTCAGTCATGAGAATGCCTTTTACAAGTTGTGTGGCCTTGGACAAGTTACCTAATGTCTTTATGCTTTAATATCCCCTAGGGAAAAAAAAAAAGATTATAATACCTAGCTCTTTGTGGTGTTGAGAGGATAAAATTAGATAATGCATGAAAACACTAAGACTGCGCTATGATGTTAGCCATTGTTGAAAGTCCACACGGCATGTAGCACTGTGTGTCCATAACCCGTAACCAGTTACCATTCCAGCTCATGGCAACCCCATGTGTGTCAGAGTAGAGCTGTGCTCCATAAGTTTTCAATGGTTGATCTTTTGGAAGTAGATCACCAGGCCTTTCTTCTGAGGTGTCTCTGGGCAGACTCAAACAACTAACCTTCAGCTAGCAGCCAAGTGCATAAACTATTTGCACCATCTGGAAGGTGTGCGTTCCAAGTTGTCTCTGAAATGCCTCCTGGTTTGACACTATCATGTTGACTTGGCATTGAATTCACTTTGAAAATTAGATTGTCTAGTTGGATCCAGAAACCTCACCAGCAGTTCCAAGCACTTAGTTTTATTTTCCTTCCTTGGTTACTGTCCTTCTTGAAATCTATTTCTTCTATTTATCTCAATAATTTTTTTCAACTTTTCTATTAGTTTATGACCCCATAGCCACTTCAAGCCTTCTCTTAGGATTTATTTTAAACTTGCAGCATCCTACCTAAGCCCCATCTCCAAAAGAGTCTCTACCTTTCTACTTTCCAGCAGCAATTCTAATGATATCTCCCCAGAAAGATAACAGAGAGATAGTGAATTCGCCTAAGCCCACCCTTATCTCAGCACCCAGCTTGCCTTATAGTTATCACTTACTTGGCTCATTAAGTGATAACTTAATAATTTATTGAGTTAAGTAGTTTAACATACAACTTCTTATTCAATCCTGAGAGAAACACTGTGAGGTGTTTATTATTGGCCCCATTTTACAATTAAGGGGGCAGAAGCCTGGTGGAAAAATTCACCCAGGTTCAGCAGCTGGGAAAGAGCCCAGCCCAGGTCTGAGCCCATCTCAGTCTGACCTCAAGCCTTCTTCACCACCACACATAGGATCCCTTTAAGCTTGCTGGCCATTTCACAGTCACATTCACCATTTATGTGGTTTGCTAGATGGTTTATAATTTCTCCATGTGGTGAGAATTTCTTTGGAGTAGGGACTGTCTATTCATTCAACTTTTGTTTCCTGGTGTTTGTCACAGTTCTCCCACAGCAAGAGTACCTATTAAATTCAGTTATATCATAACAATGACTCCAGAGAGGCTATTTTAAAATATAGAACAAACCTGGCGTGGTTTGGGCCATAGCAGTAGAAACTTGTACACCTGTTGTTTTAGTATTAGAAGTTGCTCCTGATGGGCTATGTGAGAGCAAATAATCTGTATGGAAGAGAAATTGAGAATGGGGTCAGGAATGAGGTGACTGAGCAGGCCATAAAGCACATCACTAAAGACAAATTTATGCCACGTGCCTCCCAGTTGTAGCTCTAAAATTTCTCCATCAGAGGAGCTTACATATGAGGAAAGTGTGCCTTGGCTTCCTCATCTGCAAAATGTATATACACACACACACATATGTATATAACTAAATATCTCTTATTCTTTGACATTTAGGTGTAATGGTTTTTAAGATAATATAAGAGGAAGTATTTTTAAACAATAACCTGATGACAGGGCTTTTGAGTTTCAGCAAGTATTAATATATACATATACACATTCACATACACATACATATATACATATACATATATATGACAAGAATTTGTCTATCTCCCAAATGAACAGATAAAATTCATGTTACAAAACTGTCTGCAATGTTATATCTTCTCTTATAAATTATATATTGTATTCACTTTGTTCCTTGGTTCAGCCTACCAGCTGATTCCCTCACATGTACGTAAACAAGTGTCACACTTATATATATATATATGTATCAGTTAATACAGTACTTGGCACATAGTGAGCATGACATTCATGTTAGCTATTATTGTTATCATTCTTACAAAGGGATGACTGGAAGCTGCATTGGCATGGCATTTTACATGATTTTGGGAAATTGTTCGTGTTAAAGTAAGGTGGAATCCTCATCAGTTGATGGGGATTATACAGGACTAAAGTTCTACCCCATGCCTCCTATCTCTATGTCATAGGCACAATCTTATTTCCCCATTAAAAATTAAACAAGAATACCATTAAATTCTTTTTTTTCTAGCTTGAAAGAGGGTGACTCATTTCTGAGGTTCCCCATCCATAATTCTTTTCTCTCTTTCAATAGTAGAACTTCAGAGTTGCCATAGAAATGTAAGAGCTGCTGTGTCCAGTCTAAGATTACTGGCTATGAAAACTAAGCTATATAACTAATTCCAGATCATGGTTATTCTTTAGTATAAAAATATGTGCACACGAACATGAATACAGATAGGTATTCTCATATATCCTTCTTAGATCTCATTAAATGCGTTATGAGTTATGTTAAAAGTAATGAGATTTTTTCATTACAAAAGTAAAATAGATTCAATGAAGGAAATTGGAGAATAGAAGAAAGCTCAAAGGATCATCTGTAATCCATCTATCTAAAGATATACATTTTAAACATTTTTGTATATACTCAATTGAAGTTTTAGCTATTACATCTAAGTATGGGATTGTTGTGTTTAAATATGTATCAATAGTGCTTAAATCCTGATTTTCTGTTTAATATGCCATGGACACGCCCATGTTGTTGAATAGTTTTCTATGACAAGATTTTTTATGGCTTCGTAGTGTTCCACTTTATGAATGTACCTTAGTTTTTTATTTATAGTTTATCAATCTCTTACTTTAAACATGTTATTTTCACTCTTCTGAGAGTTATAAATGATTCTGAGATAAATATCTGTGTACTAAACTCTGTGAATGTATCTCTGACCATTCCCTCAGCATTCTCATGAAGGAAATGATGCCCATATATGATGGAGTAGGGAGGTAAGGATGCCTGCCGACATTACTCAGAGAGAGCTGTCACATTTGCTCCTCAGCTACATGCTCAAGGCTTCCTGGAGAATCCACAAACAACTGAAAATGTCTTCTTTGACACCTCTGGTCAGTCTCCTCAGGGACAGAAAGCCACGATCTCTTTTTGCCATCTGCCAACTACTAGTCTGCCCTCAAATTGTACATGCAAGACTTATGTTCCAAGATTATCTACAATGTTATATCCTCTCTAGTAAATGCTATATTCACCTTGTTCCTTGACTCAGCTTACCAGCTGATTCCCTCACAAGTATGTATGGAACTAAATTACACGTGTTAAGTAAATAGCTTGCAAAATAACTGATAAATATCTCTAAGTTCTTTGTCTACTCATAGTTGTACTAGTTTTTAAGATAATAAAAGAACAAATGTTTTTAAAGAATAAAACCAAACAAACCAAACCCGTTGCCATGGAGTCGATTCTGACTCACAGAGATCCTAAAGGAGAGAGTAGTTTTGGAAAGAAATATTTTTGTAAACCAATAAAAGGATGCAAAAATTATAAAAAAGGATTACCGATGAATAAAAAAAAAATCTATTTTACAATTTCAGCTAGGAGCTCTACCTTATTCTGGATAACAGAATATGGCTATCCATTGTGTTTCTAAAAGGCGCACAAACTGAGTAAAATATGTCTATCTATGTAAGTGTTATGAAAATAGCAAATAAAATAACTAGTAAAAATAATCAAGAAGTGTCAAAGGCCAGAAGAGTGTTATAGGCATTTAATAAAAATTTGAGATGAGCCTAAGGTTCAGCTACATAGAAATCTCACTGGAAAAGGCAGCTGGATTTCTCTTCTCTTGGTCTCGGTCGTCACTTCCATTCCTCACTTTTATCCTCCATTCCTTCTTTCCACCATTAAATCCAGTGTAATTCATTTCCAGTCAAGGCACACTTTTATAATCTTTGTGGATACCAAATAAGCTCTTTTGAAACACAGAACTTATTTCCAGGGATCCAAGATTCCCAAGACTAGCTGAAGTTGTACCTCCACAGCATTAGAACAGTGCTTTATACATAATAAATATTCAGTGAAACATTAATAGTTATAAAGGTTTTGGCAAATTATTCTAGAAAAAGAATTAGTTGAGTTTCCAGATTGCACCTAATTGGGAAAATAACAATGAACTAGGCAAGCCATGTGACAAAGTGGCATGTACAGAATGATTGCAACAATGTTGAAATGCGTGCAGCCCTAGAAGATCAGCAGAAAATATTTTCAGCATTTCAAGAATGAGCACAGCTTTTACAAGAAGAAAAGAATCTAAAGTGAAAAAAGAATACACCAAACTTAAAGTTTATAAGCATTAAAGGAGATAAAATGTTAAAAGTTTACTGAAACTAAGAGCTGTGGCTGTTACTACAAATAATCCTCCTCCTCCAGGTTTCCTGATTGTTCCAGCAGGACATGAGGAGCTACCTGAGTTAGAATTCTACAAAGGTCAGCTAGGAAGTGTGTTCAGTCCATAGGATGGCACCACACTCTTTTTTTTGTGAGCACCTGCAAGACCCTGCATGATGCAGCCCTGGCATCCCTCCAACCATCATTGCTTTCCACTCTATCTTCCCTCCCTGGGCTCTAGCCATACTAGCCATCTCTTGATTCCTCGCATGCTTCATACTCGTTTCCATGCCCAAATCTTTGTGTTTAATCTTCCCTCTGCCTAAGGTACTTCTCTGCCATCTTTGCCTAGCTCTTTTCTTAGTCTCATTTTAAATGTCACTTGTTTTGCAAGGTCATCCTTGGTACTCCCAAATTAGATTTAGAATAAAACTTCCAAAGTCTCCAGTGCTTAGCATGGTATGACAAAGGCTTAATAAAATCTTAGAATTTTATTTTTGACTGTTTGGAAGCTATGTGTATCTGTTGGCCTTGATGGTTACTGGGGGTCTTGAATGTTTATTTATTTGTTCATTCAGTTGCAAAAGCTTTGAGCATGGCTACTATGTGGAGCCCTGGTGGTCCAGTGGTTAAGCGTTAAGGCTGCTAACCAAAAGGTTGGTAGTTTGAATCCAATTCACCGGCTGCTCCTTGGAAACCCTATGAGGCAGTTCTATTCTGTCCTATAGGGTCACTATGAGTCAGAATTGTCTCAACAGAGATGGATATGTACTATGTGCTATGTCATATGAATGCAGTGATAAACAATTCATTGTCTTTTCTTTAAAAAAGATTCCAGTTTAATAGAAAGACAAATATTTAATGTATGTATAATAAAGTATTTTAGGATGATGGTGAAGTGGAGGCACAGGAGGCAGTGGTGAATTCTACTTAATGGAGAAGAGGAAGAAAGACCTTATGAAGTGTTCTTTGAACTTATCTTGAAAGAAGTTTAGGTATTCACCAGATAGACTGTGTGAGCCTTTAGATACAGAGTCAGCAGTCTTAGCAATGTCCTCCAGTTTGAGACATCACCGCAAGTAGGGGGACTGCCACTATCTATGTGGTTGCAGCGTAAGATGTAAGAAGGAGAAGAATAGAGAAATGGGAAAAGGCTGAAGAGGTAGTGAAGCTCCGTACGTTCTGTGCCATGTTATGGAATCTGGACTTTTCTCCTTAAGGCAATGGAAAATCAGTAAGCAGTTTTAACCAGGTTTTCATTTTTGGAAATTCACTGTCAATAGTATGGAGAATGATGTGGGGTAAAAGAGCATGCCTATACTATGTGCTCTTTATATGAGGATCCCATTTTGTGCTCAAGAGTGGCTGAGTCAAGCAGTCCCTCTGCCAACAAGTCACTCCTCCTTAGAGAGGGTGCTTATCACTTCACCACATTGCATTTGCTGGAGAACGCCTTTTTAGCCAAAGGGGTTACAGTGACAGAAAACGACGGCAAGCAGTGAAAAGAGCATGGCAAAGACCCAGCAATAGGGTCTAACATCTCTTAGAACTGGTGCTTTAATTTTAAACAAAGACAGAGAAGAGAGGTATGAGCGAAAAAAAACATTTTACCTGTATAAGCAATTATACACTCATAAGAAAATTTACAGCTATATATACATATATATGTATACACATATATATATAATTTCAACATATAAGCAAGTTTACAATTACATGCAAATTTGTATAAACTTGTAAAACTTCTTTGGATAGCTCATTAAAATAAGTTTTGAACTTTATCAAACAAGTCTAACCCTCTAGCAAATAAATAGACTTCTTTCTTCTCCAACAGCTACTCCTCACAGGAAAGGATTGTCTACAGGAAATTTTATTCTGAAGAAGTACAGCTGAAGCCCAGAGAGATTTAAAAAAAAAAAAAGTGCCCAAGTTTACAGAGCTGGACTCATGCTCTGACATTTGCCTTAAATCCATCCAAAGTTAGACTATATTTCCTCTCTTTCCATCCCAGGTGTAAATAGTCTCCACCTTTGCTTTCAGGCAAAGCTCTAAATCATAACCAGAACTTGAGCATGTCTAACACTGAAGATACCACATTGCTTACAGGAACAAAGTCCTTGAGTCAGTTTCCAAAACTGCATACACTTTATCCAAGACTGTCTGTGCATTTTCTACTTAGACCCTTCAAAAACTGAATGTTGGTCCAGTTGATTTGAGTCTGAAATTTGCCACCTACGTTCTTAGAGATATTTGCTTCAATTCTGCAGATTCAGTTGCTTTAATGGAGCCCTGATAGTGCAGTGATTAAGAGCTCTGCTACTAACCAAAAAGTCGGCAGTTCAAATCCACCAGCCACTCTGTGGAAATCCTATGGTGAAGTTCTACTCTGTCCTACAGGGTCGCTGTGAGTCAGAATCAACTCAACAGCAACAGATGTGATGAGTTAAATCCACCATCCGTTTGTCAGTTTGTTGTACTGTGGTGGCTTGCATGTTGCTATGATGTTAGAAGGTATGCCATCGGAATTTCAAATACTAGCAGTGTTACCCACGGTGCACAGGTTTCAGCAGAGCTTCCAGACTAAGAAATGGCTGAACATCAACCAATTCTTTTTGGTACAGTGAATTTGTGTATTCCTTCCATCTTCTTTTGACATTTCCCACGTTGTTCAATATTTTGCCCATAGACTCTTTCAATATTGCAACTCAAGGCTTGATTTTTTTTTTCTTTAGTTCTTTCACCTTGAGAAATGATGAATGTGTTCTTCTCTTTTGGTTTTCTACCTCCAGGTCTTTGCACATTTAATTATAATTAATTTTGTCTTCTTGAGCAGCCCTTTGAAATTTTCTGCTCAGCTCTTTTGTTCATCATTTATTCCATTTGTGTTAGATGCCCTATGTTTAAGAGAAAATTTCAGAGTCTCTTCCTACAACCATTTAGATCTTTTCTTTCATTTTTGCGTTTTTAATGATCTTTTGCTTTCTTCGTGTATGATGTCCTTGATCTTATCCCACAACTTTATAATATAGTCACTATAATATAGTCACTAAGAATGTTTTTCAGATCTTTTACTTGATGAGGATGAAACAAGATTTAAATCAATTAAGTTGCTGGTTCTGTCTGCATATTCATAGCACCGCTGTAATGCTTTCAAATGAAGTAAACAGAATGGAAATATACATACATAGGTAAAATGTCCTATTAATTTATATTCATATTATTAAATTAAGTGAGTATCAATCAATTAAATTAATATTAATTAATATTTATATTGATTAATTTCTATTTAAAAGCCCTATTATTAATTTAAAAAAAAGCAAAGAAAGCTTTTCCACCCACTGGTTTTATCCAGCCTTCCTGTCCACTTAGGTATAATTTATGAGATAGTGATTCAGTCCTACAGTCCACTTTTCCTGTGTGAAGTAGGGACACAGGCCAAGTGTGAAGGGAGGACTAGAATGGTAACTGGTAAATGAGCACATAAATCCACTAAAGCCAGGTCTGCAGCAGCACCTGAAAGGGGAAGTGACAGTCACCAGCTATGTCAGGTTATGGAGACAGCCCCACACTGGAGAGCTAGTGCAGGGACAAGAATGAGTCAGGATTGAGAAGGAATGGTCTGCACTTGTTTTTGATATGGTGCCAGCTAATTAGACACTTTTAAGCACCTTGCTTTCTTTACAGTGGGGAAGAAGAAAATTCCACTGTTTTATAAGCTCTTAAGGGACTTTTCTCTAGAACCCAGAATGCTAAAAACCTTGTTTAAAAGAAAAATAATTATTGAATTATATATTACTACTTCCAAAATGTTTAAGAATGTAAAATATGCCTAGTTTAATTTTAAAAGGAGTGTATATTTTTTCCCTTTACAATTTTGTGCAGCTAAGGCTAACAACATATGTTCTTCTGTTTTTAAAATTGATACTTCTTTTTTTTGAAGCTAGCAGTGCATATTTCAAATGGATTGTCATTCCATGTCTAAAATTAACATACTTGGTTTTGAAAAAAATGTACGTAACCTATTCTCTAGCTCCTAAAAATCACGAAACAATCTTTCAAAATGAAGTAAAAAAAAGGGGGGGGTATGTCTACAACAAAAGAAAACAAAAAAACTTGGGAATTAAAATTTTTTGGATGGTTGTGGTGGTGCTTTTTCTTAACATGTTTTTGGAGTAAAATTTATGAGGTAATATTTCAGTCCTATCCTCAGTAATGCCAGTATTGACTTTCAAATAATAAATGTGCATTGGACAGAAATTAATAAACCATCTCATTAACTAAGAGGGAGGGTATGAGAAAATATTGGAAGAATCACCTATCTACTTCCACTAGAAGTAGTGCATATTTGAAAAAAAAATAAAATTAGTGAGAAGAAAGGAGACACATTGAGCCATCATATCACAGAGGCTCTAGTCCAATCTGAAAAGGGGTCACAACTGCTGTCAATTTTCCAGATTTTATACCACAGTCACTGTCTGAATCCAAACTCTTGTGTCTCTGCTGAGTTTTTGTCAACAGTCCCACTGGATTTCCCATGTGCAGAAGTTTCTAGTATGGCCTTAATTCTCCACCAGAGTTAACCTCCTCCTCATCAGTTCAGTTCTTACATTTCTTTTTCTGTTGTCTCAATATTCCATCTTACATCATGAAGCACATTTACTACAAAATCCACTCATTTTTCTTGAATTTAGTCATTTTAAATAACATATTTGACTATATTGTATCACAGTCAAGGAGTCTATTATGTTTTATGTCATTCTTTTGGATTATGTGTAAAGCTTAGCTGGGACTTGTCTTCTCCTTCTCTGTGGCCATTGATAGTTGTGGGTAGTGTATGGGCTTTGGAGTAACACAGCTGTGGGCTTCAGTCGTGACAATGCCTTTTACAAGTTGTATGGCCTTGGACAAGTTACCTAATTTCTCTGTGCTTTAGTATCCTCTTGGGAAAAATGAAGATGATAATACCTAGCTCTTTGGGGTGATGAGAGGATAAAATTAAATAATGGGTGAAAACATTTAGGGCTGCCTTACGATGCTAACCATTGTTTACAGTCTACACGGCACGTAGCACTGTGTGGGTCCATGACCAGTAACCAGTTACCATCGAGTCTATTCCAGCTCATGGCAACCCCATGTGTGTCAGAGTAGACCTGTGCTCCATAAGGTTTTCAGTCGTTGATTTTTCAGAAGTAGATAGCCAGATCTTTCTTCTGAAGTGCCTCTGGGTGGACTCAAATCGTCAACCTTTCAGCTAGCAGCAAAACATGTGAACTGTTAGCACCACCTGGGACATGTGAGTCCAGAGTGGTCCCTAAAGTACCTTCTGGTATGACACCATCATATGGACTTCATATTGAATTCCTTTTGAAAATTAAATTGTCTAGTTGGATCCAGAAGCCTAGTAAGTAGTTCCAAACACTTAGTCTAATTTTCCTCCCTTAGTTTCTGTCCTTCTTGAAATCTATTTCTTCTATTTATCTCAATAAATTTTCTCAGTGTGTCTATTAGGTTATAACCACTTCAAATCTTCTATTAGGATTTATTTTAAACCCTCAGTATCCTCCCTAAGCCCCACCTCCATAAGATTCTCTCCCTTTCTACTTTCAACCAGCTCTTCTATTGATATCTCCCTAGAAAAATAACAGAGCAATAGTGAATTTTCCTGACCCCACCCTTATCTCAGCACCCAGCTTGCTTTATAGTTATCACTTACTTGGCTCGTTAAGTGATAACTTAATAATTTATTAAATTAGGCAGTTTTACATACATCTTCTTATTTAATCTTTACAGAAACACTGTGAAGTGTTTATTATTGGCCCCATTTTACAATTAAGGGAGCTGAAGTCTGGTGGAAAAATTCACTCAAGTTCAGCAGCTGGGAAAGAGCCCAGCCCAGGTGTGAACCCAACTCCGTCTGACCACAGCCTTCTTCACCATCACACATAGGATCCCTTTAAGCTTGCTGGCCATTTCACAGTCACATTCACCATTTATGTGCTTTGCTAGGTGGTTTATAATTTCTCTGTGTGGTCAGAATTTCTCTGGAGTAAGTACAGTGTCTACTCAGTTTACATTTCTTGGTGTTTGTCACAATTTTTGCCACAGCGAAAGCACCCATTAAATGCAGTTGTATCATAACAATGACTCCAGAAAAGCTATTTTAAAATACAGAACAAACCTGGGGAGGTGAGGTTTCTATCAGGATAAGCTGCACTTTCCTTCTTGCTAGTAGTAGAAATTGCTCCTGATGGACTCTGTGAGAAAACATAACCTGTATGGAAAAGAAGTTGAGAATGGGGTCAAGAATGAGGTGACTCAGCGGGCCATAAAGCACATCACTAAAGACAAATTTATGTCATGTCCATCCAAGTGGTAGCTCTAAAATTTCTCCATAAGAGTAGCTTACAGATGAGGAAAGTGTGACCCGGCTTCCTCATGTGCAAAATGTATATGCACACTCACATATTTATATAACTAAATGCCTCTTATTCTTTGACATTTAGGTGTAATGGTTTTTTTTTTTTTTTTTTT